CCTTAATTGCGAGTAGAAAAATATCACGCCAGGGTGAATTTCCTTGTCTTGAAGAGTGCTTGCTTAAGTGGATTTGTTAGTGTAGAGGGCAAAACGTTCCCATCGGCAGATTTATGTTGAAGGAAAAAGCCAAGTCTTTTGCACAGTCCCTTGGAATTGAAGTATTTGCAGCAAGTGAGGGTTGGCTTTCAATTTCAAAAATCGACATGGCATCACATTTAAAAAAATCTTTGGTGAAAGCGCCAGCGTGGATATTTCCATTTGTTCTCAATGGATTGATGAACTAATCCAGCTTTTGAATGGGTATGACCAAGAGACATATTTTTATAAAAATGTCTTCTTGATCACACTCTAACGTTTAAAGACGAAACGTATCGTGGTGAGAAACTCAGCAAGGATAGATTTACTGTTCTTTTAGCTTGCAACTTGGACGGTTCTCAAAAATTTGAAATTTATATCTGGTTTCAAATTATCGACTGTACTCAATTGTGTAAGTTTTCGGACTTGTCATTGCCTGAAACAAGGAAAATTTAATAAAAGGAAAAATAAATGAAACAAATTTGTTATAAATTTTAAAATGTTAAAGATTAATTTCAACGTGGGAGTAATTCGTTAGCACAATATTAACCTTTATCCAAGTTATTTTGTAATTAAAACGTTTTAAAGAGGGGATCATTCAGCTTCAGCCAATTTTATCTGGCTGCCTTTACAAATTATGTTTCAGATTTCATCATAATATCTAGTGCCTACAGTTCTTTAATTCTTGGGAAACAGGGTCGTGTCTTCCAACTCCTCTTTGTGCACGTGTCTGTGGTAAAAAAATCCCTCTTATTCACTTCATAACATTTAAACTGTAAAAGCGAGCCATAGCGAGGTACGCTAGGGCAAGCTAATCGCCCTGAAAAGTTTTGAGCTTGTCCTAGCCGACAGTCTAAATGTCTACTCCTAGTTGACGAGTTGTACCTAGGTACAGTGTACATTAGTAACAGGAATGCAGTTACGGATGGGCCTAGGTGGATCGTGGCTTATGTACTGAAATTTCTAACCCTTCTGCTAGTCCACCCTGAACTTAACCTAAATCTAAACTTTAGAACATAACTTAGGGTCACCTAATTTCACGAGTGTTACACAATGTGATTGGGTGGAATGAATACATTTTTAAGGTACCGATAATGTTAAGTATCTATTTAATATCAACTTTGTACAAAATTTAGCGACATATCTATTTAATGATATCAAAACATCTGTTACGTGATTTACAAGTTCCTCCGTATAATCCCATGCAAATCAACAGCTTCCCTGCTAAACAAACAGAAAAGCTATCATGGAGTCCGACGATGGGCCACCAAGGAAACTCAACTCAAGAACGATCTGCCACAAGGGTCGACACTCTCCTTGTATGTATCTACGTCGCAGACATGCCAGAGATAGGGTCCGTCTGCCCTGGTGCAAGTTTTTCTGCAGTTGCCGTGGATTACGTAAGGAAATGCAGTGGCAATAGATATCAGTGGGGTAGCGTGAATTTCTGCCACCCGGAGCGTAGCCTAAATTTGCCGCCTTTCCTCTTTTTAAAATAATGTAAGACCTTTTATTTGAATTGGCAGGATTGCAATGCAAAGATATATAAAGAACTTATATGCCCCCTTCATGCTACGCCACTACCACAGATAATCTATCACTTCTCTTCTGGAACATGCTTCCATCCTAACAACAAACTCGCTAAAAGGGAACTTAGCATACAATTAGATGGCTCATTTACAGCAAAACACCAAAATACATAAATGTGACACTTGATAGAACACTTTCGTTTAAGGAGCACACAACGAATACAGCTGAGAATTTAAAACCGAAGAACAACAAATGTTCTTTGTATCATTTCTCATTCTCCCATTTATCTTTGTCTCACAAACCGTCGTCTTCTCAATTGCTGAATAATGTACGCCATTTTAGCTTGGCAACTGTGATATTTAATGTATATAATTGAAGCTTAAGAACGATGACAAAGATCATCAAATCTACTCCTACGGGATTTATTCCAATATCTTCATATACCATCTCCGCAAAAACGCCCTTACAAGAGAATACAGAAAGACTTTGAACAACCAAAACCAACCAATACAACCACAATCCCTTTCGGTTTAGAAAGCCGCCTATCAAACCAGGAATAACTGTACAGATGAAGAATTCAGCATGACTAATGCTTGGCATAATGATTGGACCACAAAAGGAAGCAACCAAATCCTATTTATTATCCGGGTTTTGACTTACCATTTAACACCTAAACAACTCTCAACAGAATATGGACCCAGCATGGTAGATGTGTCTATTTCCTAGTCCATAAATGGTACAAGACATTGACTCCGATCTGCAAATGCGGTGAAATCCAAACTGTGTAGTATATTGTAGAAGATTTCCCTAGGATGGAGTATAAAGGATTTAAGGATTTCCTGATGATAGTAAACAAATTTATTACTTTGTCTATATAAATCGAAAGGTTTTGCGATTCTTCTCTGGATGAACATGATTGCTACATTAGTTATCTTAGAAAATCTCACATCCTGGGAAGGAAATAAACATAGGGTCTAAAGTATTACTGATATCATCATGGAACTCAAGGCGTTTTGAGTTATGGGGGGATTATAGGTATATCTGTAGTTTTAGGTTTTACATTGTCATTTTTAAGGGTTTATCTGTGTGGAGCTTAAAATCTACAGTGGTGTAATCCATTCTTGCCTGTGCAAAAAAAAGCTGAGTACGTTCCTGATTGATAAGTAGCAATCACGAAATTTAATATGGTTATTATAATGGATTTCGTTTTAGTGAGACATTAATTTGTATTGAATTCCTGAAAATTCCAGGTGGATATTATAAGATACAAACAAAGATTCATTAGTCTCAAAACACATTGAGCTACTTTTAAGAAAATTAATTCATCATTGGAAGAACCAACGATTGCAACTTTTCTAATTTGCATTTGTATGTATAAACCTATCTACAATTATTAATTAATAAAAGTAATTCAAGGTTTTTAGTTTTATTTTATTCGTGCGAGGAGCGAGAAGTATTGGAAATTAACAACAAAATAAGCAGAACTTTATGTAAATAAAGTAAAAAGTTACTGACTGATTTGAAGTGTTAACGTTTATGTACGTACCTAATAACTACAAACAAAATTAACAATAAACGTAAAGTACTTTTTTATTGCTTATAATCCTCTCTCTACCTAATTGTAAGTTAAAATATCTAATTTAGCTGCAACATTTATTATTAATCGTAAGTTATCTTCGGTAAATTTACTTCATTATATTTAATCAGTAAAGAAACGTCTATTTAGCGAGAACTAATTAAATTATAGATATTTTTATTTTATTATATTTAAAACTCTTTATTATATCTATAGGTGTATAATATCTATTATCTATGGTATACACACAAAAAACGTTGTCCGAGGCAGAGTAGAGCATTTCCACCAATCAGAGATCAGCATTTCGAACACGTTAGGAGCGAAATCATGCAGCATGCGTTGAGTATGAGACGAGATGCCGGTCGGTCAAGAAATGCACGCGTTGCGGTTACAATAATATAGTGTTTATGTATAGTGAGACTTTAGGGTTAATTTATTATTCGAATTGCGTATTGTTTATAGCATTTCTTGACTGTCAAATACAATTTGCGAACATTGTACTGAAGCGTGTGCCTGAAAGCAACAACTCCTGGGAAGACGCCATCTTGTGAAAGGTAAAGTTTCTGTTGCTGTTTTGTTCATGATTTGCTACAATTTCGATTTGTTTTTGTCGTTTTTATATGCCGAAGAGTATTACATAAAACATGTAGTTTAAGGATTATATTGACGATTTTTCGGTGTTGTTAATATGTAATCTATAATTAGGTATATAAACTGCTCAATACACACATACCTTACAATGACCGATTTAATTTACTCTTTTTTACGATTACATATTCTATCTACAAAATATTGTAATCGTAAAATTTATAGATCTACTATTATACTTAGGAATATGCATACATACATGTAGGTATAAATGTTGTACAATTAAAAAAATATTTGGATAGTTTGTATATTAGCCAGTCCGATAGTAGACACCGAATGAACATAAACTAATCAGTTATTTAGTAGAAAATGGGTTTCTAAAAGAATCAATATACCTACCTAACTGATATTAAGTAAGCACAGTTAAGAAGGGGGTTTTAATTTTTTTTGTGTCGAAGAAGGGAAGAAGATTGAAGGCTGTTTTAACATTGAACATTTTCAATATCAATAAACACACCTAGAGGCGCCTTTATACCTCGACAATAATGAATGAGAGGAATGGTTATATAATAGTTGTAAATGGTTCAAATCTAAACAATGTTGCACACTAAAAATTACAATTAGGACCTTTTTTTGTTTACTCAAAATTAGGGGTTGTCCAAAAAAGTCCCACTTTCAGCGACCCCCTAACAAATATTACGTCACAAAAGCTTGCCTATCCTGCTACAAACAATTTCTTACAAAATTCGTTAATTCTCCTCTACTAGAGGTGAGCTTCAACAAAGTATGTTGTTAAGTTAATAACAAATTGCAAAAACGCCATATTTCCTTAGACCCCTCCCCTTGTCATATCTCGTCACACGAAGCAGTACTCCCCTCCCCTTATTTGCGAACGTGTTTTAAGAACTGTCCCTTACAAAAATTATTACCTAGATAGGGGGGGAGGGACTGTGGGGTGCAGCTGCCTAGTCTAAGGCTTCTTTTAATGTTTAAAATTTCTTTTTTCAAGAAAACTAATAATTTTCCTCAATATATTATGTTCTATAGGTTTTATAGTGAAAAATTTCCCAATTTTAAATTATTAATTTCTTTGAAATGCTTACGTGTAACCAACTGATTACGGCTTATTTAATTCTATACCCATAAACGGATTGTTAATTTGTAATTTTGTGTTTTATCATCACTATTTTTCTAAACCAGCAGCAGCTTCAAATAAAAAACGATATAAAATGACTGAAATTTGTATATTTAAACAGTTGCCATAATTTACTATTATAAAAACAAAATAATTATCAGCACAACCTGTACAAATTTCAATTTAGTAACCACACACAACCTATTCTCGGCTTTCAGAAACTTACATTTGTAAAAAAATAGATACGATAACTACAAAATAGTGCGCAACTACAAAAAAGTACTCATAAAAGTTGATTTATTTTGATATATTATTATTTTTTTTCACACAACCAAGTAACATGTCATCAAAAAGTTAAAAATTTGTATCGCCAGATACAAAATGTTCCTACATATGTCATCCGCATACTGTATATTATCGTGTTCTAAAAAATGTATACATATCTTGATTTATAAAAAATGAAGGAAAAATAAGGCACTTATAATCTAGTTAATGTTACGTCCGTACTTTTGCTGATAAAGCTACATTTACACAAATAAATTACGACTTATTAAGGTAAAATACGATCATCTAATATCACTTGAGTCATTAGGCACTGGTAACAGCCGATTCTGGGTCTCTTTTTGATTTTTTCGGGTCATCGGTTGCTGGGTCATCCCAAGGCTGCCTCTGACCAGATGCAAATATACTGTAGAATGTACAGCATCCGGCGTAAACAGCCGCAGCTGTTATAAAAACTATACGCCATTTGGCTTGAGTAGGCTGCAAAAAAACAAAGGAAAAATCAATGCAAGATTCTAAAACCAGTCATCATCATCATCATCATGAGGTCGTCAGTCCTAAGACTGGTTGGACACGTACCTCCACTCTTTCCTATCCTGAGCTAAACTTCTCATTTCCCTAAAACTAGAACAACCCACATACTTAACTATTTGCGAACAGTAATCTAATCTAGGACTACTTCTACCCTTCTTAACTCCTGTTTCTGCCTCTAATATGTCTCTGACTAGACCTTCATGCCTGAGAAGGTGTCTTACCAACCTATCTCGCCTATTTTTTAAACCAGTAAAGTATCAAAAAATCCCAAAATAATCACATTGTTTTAAATTTATAAAAAGATTGTTAAAAGTTGTGTTTGGAGCACGGCTCTGTATGGATGCTAATGATGGTATTCGACCATGAATAGAAAGAAGGTGAAAATGATGAAGTATTAAAAAGAGAGATCAATAAAAAAAATGGAGATACAGGATGATAGGACACTTTCTGAATCAAAGACAGAGAGTTAGGAGGGACAAAGAAAGAACTAGAGTACTTCTCATTTCTAAGTGCAGTGTAATTTGCCACCAATTTGTTACAAAATCCAGAAATTTGTGGCTTTAGCCGGTTACTTGAAAATAGACGAAATTCTAGCACAATAACACATAGCGTATCTAGGAAAAAATGGTGTAAAAGTCGCTAAAAAGAATTACCCATTTTGTCGCTAGTCTATACTCCAGTTATCCAGTGAAAAACGGCTGGAAAGACGCCAAGGTGACAGTATACATAGCTATGTGTTGTGTCAGCTTGATATCAACTTAGTATTTTGTCTATTTTCCAGTAGCATTATTTATTAACAAATTAGCCACAAATTATAATGCACTTTAGAAGTACAACTTTGTCGTTCAAGGTTAACTTACATTCAGTTAAGAATGTGAGAGATCTGACCCTATAATGATGGCGAAAATTGTTATTTTATTTTTACTTTTGACATTGATATTTATTTTTGCATTATTTAGATATGTTTAGTTTTTGTATGTTCATTAATTCTAATCAAAACACATACAAATTTGCGTATTATGATATTTTGAGCTTTACGCAGTGTAAAACTTTTTTCTTATACAAAATGGGGTGGGTTTATGCTTTTCTTCCTTTTGTATTACATACTATGGACTCAAAGTTAAGGCCGTCTATTCTGCCTAATATTTCTAATATATTAGTTACTAAACCTTTGTTAATATACTACATAAGATAGTAGCATGCGCATTGTTTTCTTGAGAAACAGTATGAAATAAATTCTTTAGCGTTAACAATTCAGTTGTTCAGAACAACGATAATTATTTTTACTGTATATTGTTTTCTTATAAAATTACATTTAATTTTAGATGCTTTGATACTTTTCCAGTATGATTTCAAAGTGAAAAATTTTTTTCAAAGAAAACTACATTTTTTATGATGCAAATAATACTTTCCTCAACATTATATTAAATTACTAACAAATTTCTTGGTTATTAGGTCTACATTTATTGCGTTCTTTCTCGTTTCTGTGTTAGGAAACATTCGAAAACGTTTCCTTTTCATATTCAGTACAAATTATTTTTTTTTTTTCCAAACTAGTGTTAATTACTATATGAAAATAAATAACAGTAAAACAAAAATTATGGTATGCAATGGAAGAAAAAGTAGGGAAAGACCGGTATCTAGGAAGTCAGATAAGTCAGGACGGAAGAAGCAATAGGAATATAAAGTAGAGGATAGCGCAGGGTCGAGTCGCCTTCAATAAAAAGAAGTCACTTCTATACTCGCGTTAATTTATAATTTCCAAAAAGATTGTCAAAGGTGTATAATAACGTTAAAAGCGTTCGAAATGTGGTGTTACAGGCGGATGATGAGGATACCGTGGATAGAGAAAGTTAGAAATAATGAGGTATTAGAGAGAATAGGAGAACAGAGGATTCTATGGATGTTAATAAGAAATAGGCGAGGTAGGTTGGTAGGACGCTTCTCAGACATGAAAGTCAGAGACATATTAGAGGCAAAAACGGAAGTTAGGAGGGATATAGAGGTAGACCTAGATTAGATTACTGTTCGCAAATAGTTGAGGATATGGGTTGTTCTAGTTTTAGGGAAATGCGAAAATTAGCTCAGGATAGGAAAGAGTAGAGGTGCGTGTCCAACCAGTCTTAGGACTTATGATGCTGATAGTGTTAATTAATTACAACAAGAGTATAACTTACCTGCCCCTTGATAATATTTCCTGCATATATGGGAGCTAACAAACCGGCCAAATTAGCCAAGCAATTCGTAAAAGACATCAGAATACCGGCGAATCGCGGGGAGATGTCCAAATGATTGACTTTGAAACCTGAATAAATTCCACCATTGAGACCCACTCCAACCGTTAACAAAGCGACTGTCAACCATCTATCACAGCCTGTAAAGGCGGCAGCAAAGAGTGCCACTGCGGGGCCATATTGACCTGGAAGAACAATTTCGCGCTTATTAAAAAAATCATAACGCTAGTGCATTTCGTGAGTGTCCAAATGTAACTGAAATCTGTTAGATGCATTGGGTTATCTGAACAAATTTAAAAATTTCTAAATACTAAAAAGAAAAGCGCTTTGGCATATTTATTAAAATATGTTGTAGCTTAATTTATTAATTTTCCGTTTTATCATTTTTAAAATTTTAAAATAGAAATACAAACAAACTGTTTTTGTTAATGTAAGTGTTGTTAGATATAACATATTAGTATGTTCTCTCGTATGCATACAAATGTTTTGAATCGGTCTCTATGCTCGGTCAGAGCTATATCTTTTTTCGTAATTTAATTTAGTTACAAATAAATAAGAGAAAATTTGTAATTTAGGCTACCTAAATTAACCATAAACTAACCCCTATTTTCATGGATGTATTGTTTCGTAATTGTTTTTTGAATTTGATGCAAAAAGAAGCATTAACTACATTCTTTTTTTTTCTGATACATAATATTATATTAACAGGTACTTACCAATTCCATTGATAATTTTTCTAACTGACGTGTGTGTGAAATACTTTTTAGTAAGCATCCAATCTGCTACGTGGCTTATGCCCATAGAAAAGAACCACATGGCCAAGTAAGGTAACGCAGACAAAAATCCATTCTGAAAATAAAATAGAAAGATTGGAGCTTATAAACTTAATTTTAACATGTAAAATAAAATAACTCAATATGAAAGCAGAACAAAATAGTAAAGCATCTTAAATAAAATTTATTGTCTGAAGTATATGTATACTAATGTGTCAATATGGTAATAAAGTAGATGATAGGATAGTGTGAACTAGCTGACGATTGAAACTTAATAAAAAGATGGAACTTACGATTAGATGTTACATTAACATAATTTTTGGATAATTCACTACTAAATAACACAATAATATTACGATTAGTAAAAAAATTGAATGGATTAAGTACTTACATCTTTAATGTTGAAATGTAGAACTTGTTTCATGTATGTTGGAAGTTCGGTCATTAATGTTTCATATCCATAATTATGACCCATGTGCGCAATAAGTATGGCCCAGAATGGAAGAGATGTAACAATAGACTTCCATGGAACTGGTGGAGTCTAATGAAACAAATGAAAAATAAATTCAGTATACTTTAAATATAAAAAATAAAAAGTAAAAAAATAAATTGTATTTGAAATTGAAATTTTATAAACAATTTGTATATACTCTATCCTGTAACAGTTTTTTAAATAATTTTGAAAAAATAAGATTTATCGCTTTAGTAAAATACAATACTGAAATTGTACTGCTTCATTTGAATATTGTAGTTCCACAGCCACAAGGGTGATAGCTTCTTAGCAGTTTTATTACTTGAGCAGAGACTATGATAAGATAATGTGCTCAATTTTTACCCACTACACATTACCTCAAATTAATGAGGAAAAATTGTTGCTGTTGTCGCACCCCCGCCGGGAATCGAACCCGGGCTCTTTGGCTTTACGCGCCAATGCTTTGACCACTAAGCTACGAGAGATGACAACAGCAACAACGACAAACCGTACTTATTAGGTCACAGATCTGTCGAACTAATGTAACTATATACTGAATATAAATATACATACAATGTAGAAATCTGTGACCTAATAAGTACGGTTTGTCGTTGTTGCTGTTGTCATCTCTCGTAGCTTAGTGGTCAAAGCATTGGCGCGTAAAGCCAAAGAGTCCGGGTTCGATTCCCGGCGGGGGTGTGACAACAGCAACAATTTTTCCTCATTAATTTGAGGTAATGTGTAGTGGGTAAAAATTGAGAATATTTCATATTAAAACAAACTCACTTCGGGAAGATTTCTACATTGTATGATAATGTGGTTTGAATTAAATTAGGTATATAACAATACAGTTTCTAATACTTACATAAGTATTACTGGAGCCCCAAATAACTTTTTCAATGTATTTTTTCTCCTCCGGGTCAATCCTGGGGTGTGATGCAGGGTCCTCGTGAACGAAAATTAGAAAAGCTATTGACCATACGGTACCAATTGCACCGAAAACGTAAAAAATTGACGGCCATCCTGCGGTGGATGCTGATAATAAACCGCTTAGGGGCATCGAAATAACAGTTCCAAATTGTGCTCCTATAATTGATAAAAGATCTTCATGATTCGACTGTTATCAATAAAGAGTAGTTTTAACCGTGCTTACTGTAATTATAATGTAATAGACTTAATTGATTTTTTTATGTTCTAGTAGTTAATAAACATTAGGGATCTGTGAATTTTTTTTTATAAGATTCGCATTATTCGAAGTCTCGAAATTATAAATTCGCACACCCCCAGTAAAAATTGTGTGTCATTCAAAATTGTCATGTTTTTCGTTATCACAAATTTTCTAGTATACTTCCATTTACATTTCTTACTTAGTCTACCAACATAATTGTTGTTAATATTTCACATTTGTGGTTGAAAATTGGAGAGGTACCCCGAGAAAATGTTTTCACTACATCACTACATAGATAGAAGATACATAAATGGAAAGCATGCAAACAATTTTAAAACGGAAAATTTCAGTGGGTAGTACAAATTCCTTAATCTTCACAATATTTGTTCATGCATACTAAAATGACTGTCGTTCAACCCTGTAAACTGAAATCTCTCTGCACATACAAAAACCCGAGATAAAAATGTTCGGTCTTTCGGAGTCTCTGAAAACAGACTCGAATCTCCGCCTCTCATCGAGTTTCTCTGGTGTCGCTGAGAGAGACTGTCAAAAAAACTGTTTAGCGTCTCTGAACGAGAGACTCGAATCTCTGAACGAGAGACTCGAATCTCTGAACGAGAGACTCGAATCTCTGAACGAGAGACTCGAATCTCTGAATAAGTGGTGTCTCAATAGACATGGTTAAATGTTTCTATGGTCAACATATTTCAGAGATCCCAGCTTTCTAAGAGAGACTCAAGTCTCTCAATTTTTCAGTTTTATTCATTCAGTCCCTCTGTGAGAGACTCGAATCTTTGAATTAACAATTTTATCGTTCGAGTCTCTCATACAGGGACTGTGAGAGATCCATAAAAACACCTAGGCAATAACTGAGACACTGTGAGAGACGCTCTCAGAGACGCTGAAAGACTCTGAGAGACTGAAGAAAGACTGAAAATCTTTGTCTAGGGAAGTAATGGGAATAGTGTCTCCTAAATACAACTTAATTTTGTAAAAATGTCTATTACGGCAGGTCATATACGTTCACGTACTTGCGTAACTCATTGATATTAAGCTTCAGAAATATATGTTATGGAAACTTGTTAATTCGGACGCTGATAACCAAAATAAATATGCACCGCGTTATGTCTGCATTAAAACTGAGTTTTTTATTGTTGCATCTATGCAGCATTTTATATTTAAATAAAACTGTCTTTTATATATTATGTACTGCGTTATATGGGACTGCGTTGTTCACGGGTCTCGTTATATTATGAAGCACATTATATTGAGATTCTTGTGTGTATGTACATATCTATAATGCGTTAAATTGAGGATGCGTTGTATATCTATTGAACCTGCAATAAGTATGAACTGCGTTACGTAGAAACTACATCGTCTATGAACCATCTTATATTGAAATAGAACTAATTTTATTGTATATGTACTGCTTTATGTACGTTCTTCGCTAGATTATGAACCGCGTTATATTGAGAATGCGTTATAAATGTATTGAACATAAAATATGATATAAGTATACGTAACATGCATTGTCTATAAACCATTTTATAATGAAATAAAACTCTTTGATATGTATTACGTTAGATTAGGACTGCGTTGTTCGTGAGCCTCGTTATATTATGAACCGTGGTATATGTATACTGCGTTATATTGAAGATGAGTTGTATATATTAAAGCTGCAATAAGTACGAACTGCGTTATACAGAAGCTGCATTGTCTGCAAATCATCTTATATTGAAATAAATCTTTTATGTGTACTGCGTTGTTTACGGACCTCGTTAGAATATGAACCGCGTTATATTGAGACTGCGTTGTGTATATGTATACTGCGTTATATTCAGGATGAGTTATATATATATATATACTGAACCTACAGTAAGTACGAACTGCGTTATACAGAAGCTGAATTATCTATAAACCATCTTCTATTGAAATTAACCTTTTATGTGTACTGCGTTATACCGTTTTACGAACCGCGTTACATTGAAACTGCGTTGTGTATATGTAAACTGCGTTATATTGAGGATGAGGTGTATATATATTGAGTATTCAATAAGTACGAACTGCGTTATATATAATCTGAATTATCTGTGAATCATCTTATATTGAAATAAATCTTTTATGTGTACTGCGTTATACCAGAACTGCGTTGTTTACGGACTTCATTACAATATGAACCGCGTTATATTGAGACTGCTTTGTGTATATGTAAACTGCGTTATATTGAGGATGAGTTGTATGTACTGCGTTATACTGGGACTGCGTTGTATGCGGGCCTCGTTAGATTATGAACCGCGTTATATTGAGATTACGTTGTATTTATATATACTAAATCTGCAATACCTACAGAAGTTACATTGTCTATGAACCATCTTATTTTATATATTATCTACTGTATTTGCGTTACATTAAGACTATATCGCGTTATATAGCGGATGCGTACATGTATTGAGCCTGCAATAACTACGAACTGCGTTATTCAGTATGTACCACGTTATTTTATAATGAAACCGTATTGTAGATGTATACATAAACAGTGTTATTTTGAACTGAATATATTTTGCATGTATTGTATTATACTAATCGTAAAACAGTAGTGTATTTAAACCGATTTTTTACGGAAGCATTGTATAAGTATGCATAAATTTTTATACATACATGATTACATCAGAATTACAGATATATTGATATATTACAAACGTCAACAAATGATGCTTGAGGGAGTCACCATTAACTGTCAGTTTTGGTTTACCTCAACAATTTATAAATACTGTAGCAACGATTATGTGCCAAATTTTTTAAATTACTTACGTATTAAATCTGATTTGAGAAAAGATATGTTACCGCGAAGATTACCTTCATTTTTGAATAAATACGACAGTTTAATAAATTCAATTAAGGAGTATATGATTATAACGACACAAATATTGGCTTTGTTAAAAATGAATAGGAACAATAGGTCATACGTATTAAACTGTAAGAGTAAATTAGCACTCCGATAAATAACTAAATTACGCTAACTAACTGTTTCCTTAAAAACAGATTCGCCAATTATAAGATAAACGTGTAAATTTGATAATTTTATTAGAGTACAGTTGTGCTATCTAATAATTTATTGCTTTTAAATTTATATAAAAATATACGTATACCTGCTTGACGTTTATTTTATTTAAAAAGATGGATTAGATCTCAAACAAATTGGAGTACTAAATTGTTATATAAATATTTTCTATTTACAAACAAATAAATAGGCAAAACTAGTTTAATTTTCAAATCGAGTTTGATCAATAACAAATTCAAGACAAGCAAGCTTGGACTAGCCCAAATTGGTTCATCATATCAGTGTTTGAATAAACTAGTAGGCAAAACTGAAATCAGATTTTGTCGATTAAATAAAAATGTATATACATAAAGTTGCACAGATTTCTATTATGCTATTGACTTCTCAGTATTTTAAAAAAGAATGCCATATACGTTTTTTCATGGAAACTAATATTGTCCTACTTTATGCAATTATTTGCCTGTCACTCCAAGATTAAATAAGATTTGATCCAAATTTTAAAAGAACGAAAACGGTGATCCAGTGGATTTATTTCCAGACTACAGGTAATATCAAATTGCTAACTACTGAAGATGCAGCCGGCGAAACGTCTGGAGTTAAATCTATAGGATCATAAAGCTTACGAATGGAAATGTTTGTTTGTTTGTATTCACAATTTCGTCAAATTTGAAAGCTGTACTTAGAACAAAACTCAGTCCAGTCGGTAGAGAATTTTTTAGACATAAATTTGTTACTGGACGGGAGTTGTTCTATATTGTAGGCAAAGTCAAGAGCATTCGTGTATATTTTTGAACTTCGAAAAAGTATGCGTTAACAAATGGGGGAGGCCCAAAGTTGGCAAAAACCAAGATTTTCGATCTAGAAGGCAAGGTATACTTTTTAGAAAGAAATGTTTCCAATAAAAATAGTAGTCATTGAGATGCTGCGGTACGATTAATTTCGTAAATTAGTTATTGCAAAAAAATCGTCAAAAATTGCCATTTCTTGTATATTGATTGTTTATTGTAAAAATGACTTTTTTAATGATTTTATCATATTGAAATGAAGGTTTTTAAATTTGGAATCGAACTGATTTTTGTGGGCGTAAATGTTTATTTCCACAGACATAAATTTGTTTTTGGCCAAACATTTTCAGTTACAGAAAGGTTCAATCTCTTCGTAAAGGTTGAGATATCCATATCCCATTAGGGGAAAATGAAATAATTCGTTTTTAACCTTACTTTCTTGCGTTAATACACACTTTTTCGAAGTTTCAAGTATATAGGGATGCTTAACTTTTCCCCGCCTACAACATGGATAAACCTCCCGTCCGGTAACAAATTTATGTTGGGAAAATTATTTACCGACTGGAAATCACCTGGCAATATTTGGAGTCACTCGAACCTCACTCGCAGTTTCTTATGCATTTTTTTTTTGGAAATCTTTCGGCATTATTCACACTCTTTCAGCAGCGTTCACGATCAGTCAGTGCAAAAATTATTGTACATACCTCTCCAGAACCGAATAAGTTACATAACAAACGGCACTATAAGTAGTGTAGTAAGTAGAAGTAGAGTAGTACCTGCGTATACGAATGCGCCCATGCGACTTCGCTCGTTAGGAGGAATCCATTTAGCCAGCATTGCATGCGTGCATGGGACAATAGGGCCCTAACCAGAAAGTATCTTTGAATACACGGAAGAGGTACAACAGCGAGAGCTATACATTTTTGTATTAAGCCGCTAATCAAACAAGTGTGAAAAATCATATAAAATGTGACAACATAAAATCATTATGTTTACAAATTTACATAGATGCATTACTTATTATAAAAGCGGATTACTAGGGCGTAAAGTGATCTTTCGAGAAGCAACAGCTTTTCAGTTTAAAAAACGAGCCAATATTTCGTGTTTTGCGTATTTGCGTATCAATATTTAGATGTTGTAGAGTCCTAGATAGGATGTTGTAGTGAATGTGGCTAAAAGATCGCTGACGGAATCATTAAGTGAAATTAGGTTACGATATGGAGGAACTCTTGTTTCAAATGTATGAACTGTGCTGAACTTTGGGCTTTTTACGTTAGGTTATAGTGAAAAAGGACTCTCTGATTTGTCTTGAGTGAACGGTTAAGGTTAGGTTAGGTTGGGTTAGGTTATAATGGAATCATCCAATTAAATTAGATTACGATATGGAGGAACTCTTGATTCAAATATTCAAATGTACAAACTGAGATGAACTTTGGTTTTTTACGTTAGGTTATAGTGAAAAAGGATTTGTCTTGAGTGAACGGTTTAGGTTAGGTTAGGTTGGATTAGGTTATAATGGAATCATCCAATTAAATTAGATTACGATATGGAGGAACTCTTGATTCAAATATTCAAATGTACGAACTGAGATGAACTTTGGTTTTTTACGTTAGGTTATAGTGAAAAAGGATTTGTCTTGAGTGAACGGTTTAGGTTAGGTTAGGTTGGATTAGGTTATAATGGAATCATCCAATTAAATTAGATTACGATATGGAGGAACTCTTGATTCAAATATTCAAATGTACGAACTGAGATGAACTTTGGTTTTTTACGTTAGGTTATAGTGAAAAAGGATTTGTCTTGAGTGAACGGTTTAGGTTAGGTTAGGTTGGATTAGGTTATAATGGAATCATCCAATTAAATTAGATTACGATATGGAGGAACTCTTGATTCAAATATTCAAATGTACGAACTGAGATGAACTTTGGTTTTTTACGTTAGGTTATAGTGAAAAAGGATTTGTCTTGAGTGAACGGTTTAGGTTAGGTTAGGTTGGATTAGGTTATAATGGAATCATCCAATTAAATTAGATTACGATATGGAGGAACTCTTGATTCAAATATTCAAATGTACGAACTGAGATGAACTTTGGTTTTTTACGTTAGGTTATAGTGAAAAAGGATTTGTCTTGAGTGAACGGTTTAGGTTAGGTTAGGTTGGATTAGGTTATAATGGAATCATCCAATTAAATTAGATTACGATATGGAGGAACTCTTGATTCAAATATTCAAATGTACGAACTGAGATGAACTTTGGTTTTTTACGTTAGGTTATAGTGAAAAAGGATTTGTCTTGAGTGAACGGTTTAGGTTAGGTTAGGTTGGATTAGGTTATAATGGAATCATCCAATTAAATTAGATTACGATATGGAGGAACTCTTGATTCAAATATTCAAATGTACGAACTGAGATGAACTTTGGTTTTTTACGTTAGGTTATAGTGAAAAAGGATTTGTCTTGAGTGAACGGTTTAGGTTAGGTTAGGTTGGATTAGGTTATAATGGAATCATCCAATTAAATTAGATTACGATATGGAGGAACTCTTGATTCAAATATTCAAATGTACGAACTGAGATGAACTTTGGTTTTTTACGTTAGGTTATAGTGAAAAAGGATTTGTCTTGAGTGAACGGTTTAGGTTAGGTTAGGTTGGATTAGGTTATAATGGAATCATCCAATTAAATTAGATTACGATATGGAGGAACTCTTGATTCAAATATTCAAATGTACGAACTGAGATGAACTTTGGTTTTTTACGTTAGGTTATAGTGAAAAAGGATTTGTCTTGAGTGAACGGTTTAGGTTAGGTTAGGTTGGATTAGGTTATAATGGAATCATCCAATTAAATTAGATTACGATATGGAGGAACTCTTGATTCAAATATTCAAATGTACGAACTGAGATGAACTTTGGTTTTTTACGTTAGGTTATAGTGAAAAAGGATTTGTCTTGAGTGAACGGTTTAGGTTAGGTTAGGTTGGATTAGGTTATAATGGAATCATCCAATTAAATTAGATTACGATATGGAGGAACTCTTGATTCAAATATTCAAATGTACGAACTGAGATGAACTTTGGTTTTTTACGTTAGGTTATAGTGAAAAAGGATTTGTCTTGAGTGAACGGTTTAGGTTAGGTTAGGTTGGATTAGGTTATAATGGAATCATCCAATTAAATTAGATTACGATATGGAGGAACTCTTGATTCAAATATTCAAATGTACGAACTGAGATGAACTTTGGTTTTTTACGTTAGGTTATAGTGAAAAAGGATTTGTCTTGAGTGAACGGTTTAGGTTAGGTTAGGTTGGATTAGGTTATAATGGAATCATCCAATTAAATTAGATTACGATATGGAGGAACTCTTGATTCAAATATTCAAATGTACGAACTGAGATGAACTTTGGTTTTTTACGTTAGGTTATAGTGAAAAAGGATTTGTCTTGAGTGAACGGTTTAGGTTAGGTTAGGTTGGATTAGGTTATAATGGAATCATCCAATTAAATTAGATTACGATATGGAGGAACTCTTGATTCAAATATTCAAATGTACGAACTGAGATGAACTTTGGTTTTTTACGTTAGGTTATAGTGAAAAAGGATTTGTCTTGAGTGAACGGTTTAGGTTAGGTTAGGTTGGATTAGGTTATAATGGAATCATCCAATTAAATTAGATTACGATATGGAGGAACTCTTGATTCAAATATTCAAATGTACGAACTGAGATGAACTTTGGTTTTTTACGTTAGGTTATAGTGAAAAAGGATTTGTCTTGAGTGAACGGTTTAGGTTAGGTTAGGTTGGATTAGGTTATAATGGAATCATCCAATTAAATTAGATTACGATATGGAGGAACTCTTGATTCAAATATTCAAATGTACGAACTGAGATGAACTTTGGTTTTTTACGTTAGGTTATAGTGAAAAAGGATTTGTCTTGAGTGAACGGTTTAGGTTAGGTTAGGTTGGATTAGGTTATAATGGAATCATCCAATTAAATTAGATTACGATATGGAGGAACTCTTGATTCAAATATTCAAATGTACGAACTGAGATGAACTTTGGTTTTTTACGTTAGGTTATAGTGAAAAAGGATTTGTCTTGAGTGAACGGTTTAGGTTAGGTTAGGTTGGATTAGGTTATAATGGAATCATCCAATTAAATTAGATTACGATATGGAGGAACTCTTGATTCAAATATTCAAATGTACGAACTGAGATGAACTTTGGTTTTTTACGTTAGGTTATAGTGAAAAAGGATTTGTCTTGAGTGAACGGTTTAGGTTAGGTTAGGTTGGATTAGGTTATAATGGAATCATCCAATTAAATTAGATTACGATATGGAGGAACTCTTGATTCAAATATTCAAATGTACGAACTGAGATGAACTTTGGTTTTTTACGTTAGGTTATAGTGAAAAAGGATTTGTCTTGAGTGAACGGTTTAGGTTAGGTTAGGTTGGATTAGGTTATAATGGAATCATCCAATTAAATTAGATTACGATATGGAGGAACTCTTGATTCAAATATTCAAATGTACGAACTGAGATGAACTTTGGTTTTTTACGTTAGGTTATAGTGAAAAAGGATTTGTCTTGAGTGAACGGTTTAGGTTAGGTTAGGTTGGATTAGGTTATAATGGAATCATCCAATTAAATTAGATTACGATATGGAGGAACTCTTGATTCAAATATTCAAATGTACGAACTGAGATGAACTTTGGTTTTTTACGTTAGGTTATAGTGAAAAAGGATTTGTCTTGAGTGAACGGTTTAGGTTAGGTTAGGTTGGATTAGGTTATAATGGAATCATCCAATTAAATTAGATTACGATATGGAGGAACTCTTGATTCAAATATTCAAATGTACGAACTGAGATGAACTTTGGTTTTTTACGTTAGGTTATAGTGAAAAAGGATTTGTCTTGAGTGAACGGTTTAGGTTAGGTTAGGTTGGATTAGGTTATAATGGAATCATCCAATTAAATTAGATTACGATATGGAGGAACTCTTGATTCAAATATTCAAATGTACGAACTGAGATGAACTTTGGTTTTTTACGTTAGGTTATAGTGAAAAAGGATTTGTCTTGAGTGAACGGTTTAGGTTAGGTTAGGTTGGATTAGGTTATAATGGAATCATCCAATTAAATTAGATTACGATATGGAGGAACTCTTGATTCAAATATTCAAATGTACGAACTGAGATGAACTTTGGTTTTTTACGTTAGGTTATAGTGAAAAAGGATTTGTCTTGAGTGAACGGTTTAGGTTAGGTTAGGTTGGATTAGGTTATAATGGAATCATCCAATTAAATTAGATTACGATATGGAGGAACTCTTGATTCAAATATTCAAATGTACGAACTGAGATGAACTTTGGTTTTTTACGTTAGGTTATAGTGAAAAAGGATTTGTCTTGAGTGAACGGTTTAGGTTAGGTTAGGTTGGATTAGGTTATAATGGAATCATCCAATTAAATTAGATTACGATATGGAGGAACTCTTGATTCAAATATTCAAATGTACGAACTGAGATGAACTTTGGTTTTTTACGTTAGGTTATAGTGAAAAAGGATTTGTCTTGAGTGAACGGTTTAGGTTAGGTTAGGTTGGATTAGGTTATAATGGAATCATCCAATTAAATTAGATTACGATATGGAGGAACTCTTGATTCAAATATTCAAATGTACGAACTGAGATGAACTTTGGTTTTTTACGTTAGGTTATAGTGAAAAAGGATTTGTCTTGAGTGAACGGTTTAGGTTAGGTTAGGTTGGATTAGGTTATAATGGAATCATCCAATTAAATTAGATTACGATATGGAGGAACTCTTGATTCAAATATTCAAATGTACGAACTGAGATGAACTTTGG